CCCCCTGTTCCCGGGGTGAGGGCGGGGCCCCCTGTTCCCGGGGTGAGCACGATGCCCAGCTCCCAGAGTGAGAGTGGGGCCCCGGCTCCCAGAATGAGGGTGGGGCCCTGGCTCCCGGGGTGAGGGCGGGGCCCCGGCTCCCAGAGCGAGGGCAGGGCCCGGCTCCCGTGGGAAGGGCGGGGCCCCGGCTCCCAGAATGAGGGCAGGGCCCTGGCTCCCGGGACGAGGGCAGGGCCCGGCTCCCGGGGGGAGGGCGGGGCCCCGGCTCCCGGGGGGAGGGTGGGGCCCTGGCTCCCAGAGTGAGGGCGGGGCCCCCTGTTCCCGGGGTGAGGGCAGGGCCCTGGCTCCCGGGGGGAGCGAGGGGCCCCCGTTCCCAGAGTGAGGGCAGGGCCCGGCTCCTGGGGGGAGGGCAGGGCCCCCTGTTCCCAGGGTGAGGGCAGGGCCCTGGCTCCCGGGGTGAGGGCGGAGCCCCAGCTCCCAGGGCGAGGGCCGCGCCCCAAGTGAGTGGACAAAGCCCCAAAGCCTAGTGTGGGGACAGGGGCCCAGCCCAGCAGGAGGTAGGCCCCAAGTCCCTGCATGAAGGGAGGAGTTTGCGACAATCCTTAACAAACAAGAACTAAGAACGACTGAGGCTCCAAGCAATCGTGTGCAAACAGCCAGGAAACGTTGTTTATGGTGTCAGAGCCAGTTAAATAAATAATATACAGAACATTGTAAAATACAACTTTTAAACTGCTAACAAACAGAGAAGCAGGAAATCATTCTAATGGGAGATCTTAACACCAAACGATATCTGACGTGAGAGCCTGCTCAGTCACCCTGCAATACTCCCCCCACCATGCCTCCAGGATTAAATCTTCCCGATCCGTCTGGTCCTGAATCATGTGGAGCAGACGTTCCTGGGTTTTAATAAGGAAACTCCCGCTCTGTTGGCTCAAGTAGGCAAAGATGGTGCAGTTGGGGCATCTTGGACAACGTCCCTTGGACTCTCTGAGATGGACATAAAAGAACCCAGTAGGGGGAGTTATCCCGGTGTCCTGGGTTGATGTTCAGCCCTCAGCTAACAACGATAAATTCGACAGCTTGCTCGTTTTCACACTGCTGCTTGCGGAAGCTTGCTGTACCTAAATGAACTGTCGCGTTTCCTAAAATATGACAGGAACCACACTTCGAACGTCCGTCGCAAAGTACTCTGGGATTTTGTGAAAGGTGCTATGTAAATGCACTCTCTTTAAATTGGCCTCAGGTAAGCAAACCCAAAACCTTCGTTCCCGAGCCACAGAGAAAGCAAAGGGGAACTATGGGCTCCCAAAGGCTTTTTGTACCATGACCGTGAAATTTGGCATTCTTGCAATTGTGACCCGATCAATACAGTGCAGGAGGGAGATGCTCCATGTCGCTTCCTCCATGGTGATATCTCAAGCCAATCAGAGTTGACTTGCAAACCAATCAGCACCCTTTACCCAACGCCCATCACTGTACCCCGATTCCAAACCCTGTGCCCCACCAAAACCAGGGATTTCAAGCCTGTGGCGGGAACCACCCTAGGGTGGCACAGTGGCTCAGTGGTTAGCACTGCTGCCTCACAGCACCAGAGACCCAGGTTTGATTTCACCCTTGGGTGTCTGTCTGTGTGGAGTTTGCACATTCTCCCCGTATCTGTGTGGGTTTCTTCCGGGTGCTCTGGTTTCCTCCCACAGTCCAAAGATGTGCAGGTTAGGGTGGATTGGCCATGCCAAATTGCCTGCAGTGTTCAGGGATGCGTGGGCTGAGTGGATTAGCCATGGGGAAATGCAGGGTTACAGGGATAGGCTAGGGGAGTGGGTCTGGGTGGGATAATCTTTGAGGGTGGATGCAGACCTGATGGGCCAAAAAACCTGCTCCCACACTGTAGGGATTCTAGAACCAGTCCCCAGAGCTCCAAAACCCCTATCTATGTCTGAACCTCATCTCCCTCCCACCAATCCCCAAAGGCTGTGCCCAGCTTAAATGACATGTCCAATCCCTAAAGTGCATGCTTGACCTGAAAGGGTGCAATGGCGACCCTTGAACCCTGTAATAGGGAGCGGTGATGGCCTCGTGGTAGTATCGCTGGACTGTTAATCCAGAGACCCAAATCTGGGGACCTGGGTTTGAATCCTAACATGGCAGATGGTGGAATTTGAATTCAATTAAAAAAATCTGGAATTAAGAGTCCAATGATGACCATGAATCCATTGTCAATGTTGGAAAGTCTTATCTGGTTCACTAATGTCCTTTAGGGAAAGAAACTGCTGGCCTACATGTGACTCCAGACCCACAACAATGTGGATGACTCTTAACTGCCCTCTGGGCAATTAGAGATGGGCAATAAATGCTTATTGCCCTAGTCAGCGATGCCCTCACCCTGTGAATGAATAAAGGAAAAGAGTGCCTGGGCAGCAAGATCCCAGACTGAACCCTGGTGTCAGCCCAATTGGTTCCTGGCCCCCAAGTGGTCCTAAGACAAGGTATAGGAGTAGGAGTAGGCCATTCAGCTCATCAAGTCCTGGGCCGATCTGACAATCTTCAAGCCCACTTTTCTGCCTTTTCTTCATAACCATCTGTCCATTTCAGATTAAAAACTTACCTCAGCCTTGAATATACTCAACGACCCAACCTCCACAGTAAAGAATTCCATAAATTCACTCCTCTCTGAGAGAAGAAATTCCTCCTCATTTCTGTCCTAACTGGTGGCCCCTTGCTCTGAGATGATGGCCCGATGGAAGAGAGCAAACTGAGCGCTCAACTGGATAGGACATGAGAATCAGACAGCGAGGCCTCTCATGGTTGACAAGCTTGGGATGGGGAGGCTGAGGTAGATCCCCCAGCATGCCATGGTCGTATTCAACAGTGGAAGAGCCAGTGAGGGGCCTTAAGCCAGCAGCCATACACTGCCAAACCCCACCCCCTACAACCAGTCCCTAGCTAGTGAGTTACCAGTAGACAATCACAGCCTAGGTACCTGAGGGTCATGGGTGTCTGAATTCCGTAAAACTGCTGCTTCCTGCACCCACTTCCTAACCCTAATCCTTTGAAATAGAGCTCACAATGGAGGTAGGCCCGAAGCCCTATATTGAAGGCCTCGCCTCTGGATGCCCAGATGTAGGGTCTTTACTGGTTGAAGGAGCTGGTAGGGAGGGGGGGAATAAGGCTAAGATTAAGGAAGATGGCGGAAGAGAAACGTAAATAGAATATTTGAAGACGTTTAAGTTGGCAATCCTGCCTCTGCCTTATTTTTACACTGTGGTAAATCAGATCGTACTTTTTAAGACAACCCAGTAGTTTATTGGTCACCATTTTTATTCCCAATCTATGTGTTGATGAAATCTCAATTCTGCTAGCTGCTCTGGTCCCTGTCCCCTCAGATTATTAGTTTAAGCTTCCGATCATTAGGCCAGGAATGTGACCCACCCCTCGCTTCTCTCCCCCCAGCCCATTCCCAGAATGCGTCTGCTCTTCCTTTTGCAGCCACTGCTGTCAATTTACCCAGATCTGACGGGACAGAGAAGTTCAAGGAAGGTCCCGGCCTAGGAGGCTTCTCACACCTGGGAAATGGCCTGGCCTTATAATGGGGACCTCCACTGGGACTTGGCTCAGCCTCAGTGATCATCCTGTGGACTTTCTCTCCACTATCCCAGGTGGGGAGTGTCAAGCCAGGCCCATGAGCAGAGAAAGGTCAAGACCGGAGGGACAAGACAAATAAAAGGGAAAGCCTAGGCCTCAGGTGGGCCTGTTGGGAGAGGGAGCGCAGGCGAGAGGTTGGCTTTCAGGCAGATGTATGAGGCAGCTAATGAATGTCCTTCCTATTCGGTGCTCAGGGGCACTTCCTCTCCACACACTGTTTGCCCCCTTCCTCATATTCTTGTTTGGAGATCCACATCTGCTGGAAAGTGCCCTGTGTAAAGAAAGCTCAGCATCAGAGTGCTTAGCAACAAGAACAGGCCAATATTCCCAACAAGCATATCCCTTACTGAAACCTTGACCTCACCTTCCACATAACCCTAAATCCCATGTCCCCATTCCCCCAAATCAAACCTCTCCCCACATTCTTCAATTCCTCTGTCTCCCCATAACTCTCAATCCCTCCATCCCCCCTATATCTCTCAATCCCTCTGACTCCCATATCCCTCAATCCCTCCATCTCCCCATGTCCCTCTATCTCACAACACTCTAACTTTGCATGGTGCTCAATGTCTGAATTTTAATATCGTCTCCATCACAGGAAATCTATAACACAAATTAGAGAAAGAATCAAGTCAAATGTAAATGCTGACAATTTAATACCCAGACATATTAATCAGTTACTGATTACTGTGTTTTACAACACTTAGTATCAGACCCTGTAGCTGGGGGTCAATGTTCACAAGCTACCCGGTAACAGACAGACTCACCAGGGAGGCAAGGATCGAGCCACCAATCCAGGGGCTGAATCGCCGCTCCACTGTGCTATTATTGGCTATCAGCTTCAGCCGCATACTCTGATGGGGACAGAGGAAATGATTAAATGGAGGGAAAAGAAATAATTATTAAATCTGGTCCCCATTCCCAACTTAACGTTCTCCATCTCCCATTCTCACACTCACACATTCATTCTCTCCATCTTCCATTCACACACTCACTCACTCCGTCTCCCATTCCCTCATTCACTGCTCCATCTCATACAAATTCATAGAAGCCCTACAGTGTAGAGAGAGGCCATTTAGTATATCAATTTTGCACCAAACCTCCAAAGAGCAACTTATCCAGATCCAGCCTACCACCCTATCCCTGTAACCCCTGATTTACGATGGCTAATTGACCAACCCTGCACATCCCTGGATACTATGGGACAATTCAGCACTGCCAATCCACTAATCTTGATTCCCATTTTCCCCGTTCTATTCTGCAATTTCCTCTCTTTTCTCCCATTCCCACTCACCCTCTCTATTCACCCATTCTCAGTCTCTTTCCATCCCCATTCTCACTCTCTTTTCTTCCATTTCCACTATCTTCCCCCTCCATTCCCCCATTCCTACTCTCACCCTCCCCCCGCATTCCCACTCTCTGATTTCTGATGAAGGGTCTAGGCCCGAAACGTCAGCCTCTCTGCTCCTCTGATGCTGCTTGGCCTGCTGTGTTCATCCAGCCCTGCATCTTGTTGTCAAGGAACAGCTGCAGGTTCCTTCTGAGGTGCAGCTTGAAGTTTACAGATTTGCCAAATTTCCTCCTGGGGTGTATTTACAAAAGTAGGGCTGAGAGGGGACTGTTTTGTCACAGCCAAGGGTTGAGGCCTGAAGAGCCCAGGAGCTCTTGCCAAGTAATATTCTGTGCGCTGTAAAGATGCAACAGACTGTTTATCAAACAGAGCATTGTCACATGGACGATGAGCAATGCCACGGGAGGGCTGCAAACAAAGGAGGCAAACTTCAGGGAAATGGGGCAGGATGCCCGTTCGACTCTTTATGTAAGAAGGATTTTTTTGTTTAGAAAAGAGCAGACAGTGAATCGCTACTGGCAGCATACATTGACTGTGGCTGCCGTTTTATGTCCAGCTGTAGTCACTGGACTTTTAAACTTGCCCTTCTGTGAGGACTGCTCAGTTTCTACTGCACCCCACTCCGTCTCCTGCCATCGGAAAAGGGAGAGAGTGAACCCACTGCCATTTGTGCGGTGATGGTGGAAATCCTTCAACAAAAATACATTAATCTCCCTAACACAGTACTTACAGGAGGTGTTTTCTGTGAGAGCTCCCGATTTAGCCGGTCTGTGAAGCCTTGAAGTAAGGTGTTGCCCCCGGTGACAATCACACTGCCATACAAGCCCTGCCAAGAGACAACAGCGAGAGGTTACTGAAGGAACCACCTCCACATTATTTCTCTGACCCCATTCTTCCTCTTGCGAGGTGCTAAATAGTTCACTGGTCATGGATGAAACGCATGCTCAGCTACTAAGGAACAGGAGGCCAGGGACTGCAGGAGCCCTGACTGGTTTCTTGCATTCTTCTGCGCGTGTGTGAGAGGTGCAAGAAGTTTGAAGGACTGCAATAAATCTTCTGTTTTCAAGGAAAAAGGGAAACGCCCCAACTTGCTAGCTGCAGGTCAGCTAAAACTATGAGAAACCATTGTCAAGGATGGAATTAATTCTCACTTGGACAAGCAGGCAGTAAAAGAAGGGACAGGTCACGCAGGTTGGGCCTCTACACATTAAGAGTTTAGGAGAATGAGATGATCATATTGAAGTGTGAGGGGCTTGACCGGGTGGATGTTTCCCCACATGGAGGAATCTAGAACTGGCAGGTACAGCTTCAGTATAAGGGGTCACCCATTTAAGGAGATGAAGAGGAGCATTTTATAAAGTCATACAGCATGGAAACAGTCCCTTCAGCCCAACATGTCCATGCCAACCAGGTTTCCCAAACTAATCTCATCCCATTTGTCTGCGTTTGGCCCATATCCCTCTAAACGTTTTCTATACATGAACTTGTCCAAATGTCTTCTAACTGTACCCACATCTACCTCTTCCTCTGGCAGTTTATTCCACACAAGCACCACCCTGTGTGTGAGTCAATACAGTGTGGAGATTGAGGAACACAGCAGGTCAGAGGAGCAGAAAAGTCGACATTTCGGGTTTACACCCAACTTCAGGAGTCCTCTGCTCCTCTGATGCTGCCTGACCTGCTGTGTTCCTTCAGCTGCACACAGTATTGACTCTGACTCCAGCAACTGCAGTTCTTGCTATCTCCCACCCTCTGTGTGAAATAGTTGCCTGTAGGTCCCTTTTAAATCTTTCCCCTCTCCCCATAAACCTATGCCCTCTAGTTTTGGACTCCCTTACCCCATGGAAAAGACCTTTGCTGTTCACCTTCTCTATGACCCTCATGATTTTATAAACTTCAATAAGGTCACCCCTCAACCTCCTACACTCCAGTAGAAAAACGTCTCAGCCTATTCAGCCTCTCCTTATAACTCAAACCCTCCAATCACAGTAACATCCTTGTAATTCTCTTCTGCACTCTCTCAATTTAATAATATCCTTCCTACAGCATCTTGTGAATTGTTGGAATTCTTTAAAGCTGTGGAAACTGGATCACTGGGTGAAGTAGATTCTGGACAGGGAGTTATGGAGAATAGGCAGGTCTTATAGAATGGCAGAGCAGGTTAGAAGGAGCGAATAGTCTACTCCCGCTCCTATTTCTGATGATTTTTTTTAAATGAGACCGGGATAACTTGGTACAAAGCTGGCGAAGGGGTGAACTGTTTGTCTGACCTAACAGTTATATTCATTGGGAATCTTGAGCCCTGGTTGCTTTGAATTTTTTTGAATGTTCATATCCATTGAAGAGTCTGTCTGTCTTCAGGAGAGTGCACAGCGGGGTCATATTGGATAACTGGCAAAGGTTATCTTCTTGGCTTGTGTTTTGGTTTGTGGGGGAGGGGGAATGTTGGCCCAGGAGACTGGGGAGATCTCTCCTGATGTAAAGAAGCAGGCAGTCCTGTTTCTTGGAATATACTTCAAGGCCTTTCTGCGTCCTGAGGCTGTGAGCTGGGGTTGGGATTGATGTCTCATCCCAGTATTGGTGCAGGACAATCCAATGCTCCCTCAGGACTGTCACTAGGGACGTCAGCCTGGCTGACATGCTGCGGTCTCGAGGTGGGTTCCTGGTTCTAGGTGGGTGTTTCCCAAGACCCCAGAGGTTTCAAAATTAAAGGGCAGGTGACGGCCTACTGGTATTATCACAGGACTGTTAACCCAGAGACACAGGTAATGTTCTGGGGACCTTGGTTGAATCCCAACATGGCAGATGATGAAATTTGAATTCAATTTAAAAAATATGGAATTAAGAGTCTAATGATAACCATAAATCTACTGTTGATTATTGGAAAAAAAAACCCATCTGGTTCACTAATGTCCTTTAGGGAAGGAAGCTGCCATCCTTACCTGGTCTGGCCTACATGTGACTCCATCCCCACAATATGGTTGACTCTTAACTGTACAATTAGGAATGGGCAGTAAATACTGTCTAGCTAGCCACACACTCATCCCATGAATTAATCTTTTAAAAAGGTACTGCTGCAAAGAGACAACAAGGTGCAGGGCTGGATGAACACAGCAGGCCAAGCAGCATCATAGGAGCAGAGAGGCTGACGTTTCGGGCCTCGACCCTTCATCAGAAAAGCTTTTCTGATGAAGGGTCT